TGATAAACTATACTTCATCAAAATTTAAAACTTTTGCTCTGTAAAAGACAGTGTTAAAAGACCAAACCACAGACCAGGAAAAAATGTTTGCAAATTGCATATCAGACAAAAAACTTACATTCATATTCTTTTTTTTTTTTTTTTTTTTTTTTTTTTTTTTTTTTTTTGTCTTTTTTACTGACCGGCAACAGGATCGCAACCCTCGGTGTCGCACCCACACCGCGCTCAGCCAGTGAGCGGGAACCGGTCTCCACATGGGATCCGAACCCTCCCAAGCAGCGCACTCTCCAGCGCGCCACCGGGCCGGCCCCTTACATTCATATTCTATAAAAAACTTTCAAATGCCAGGAACAGTAAAAGAACTCAACAAAAAACTGGGTGAGACATGAACAGATACTTCACCAGAGAAGATCTCCAAATAGCAAATGGAAAAATGCTCAACATCAGTCTTTAGCAATATACAAGGGTACTTCAGAAAGTTCATGGAAAGGTTCATATTACCTTTTAATTTTACTTTTCCACAAACTTTTTGAAATATCCTTGTGGGCCGGCCCGGTGGCGCACTGGAGAGTGCGCCGCTTGGGAGCGCGGTGGCGCTCCCGCCGAGGGTTCGGATCCCATGTGGAGACCGGTTCCCGCTCACTGGCTGAGCAAAAAAAAGAAATATCCTTGTACACATAAAAACCACTGAATACCTATTGGCACGACTGAAAAAAACTGATAACCACGATACTGGGAAGGAAACAGAACAGCTCTCACACAGCTGCGGGGACATAAGGGCGCAGGTACTTCAGAAAAGTTTGGCAGTTGCTTATAAAGGTGAACATAAACCTAACATACATTCTAGCAACCTGACTCCTAAGTATTTACTCAACTGAACTAAATGCCTATGTTCACACACACAACAAAACTGTATGTGAACATTTACAGCACCTTTATTCAATAAGCTCCAAAAACTGAAAACAACCCAAATACCTTCCAAAAGGTGAAAGGACAAAGTGGGCTGCATTTTACAGTGGGGTACCAGTTGGCAATAAATGCAGCAAAGTGGGTGAATCTCAAATGCACTACGCTCAGTGAGCCAAGCCAGACTGGAAAGGCAACACGCACTGTGATTTCATTCATACATCATTCTGGAAAAGGCAAAAATCACAGAAATAGAAAACAAAGGTCAAGGGAAGGGTGAGGGTTTGCCTATGACCAGGTAGCAAGAGGGAACTTTTTGGGAGCTGACAGACTGTTTTGTTTCTTGGCTGTGGTGGTGGTGGTGGTTACACATCTCTATGGATCTGTCAAAACTCATAGAACAGACCAAAAATGAGTGAATTTTACTGAATGTAAATTAAATAAATTTAAATAAGCAAATGCAAACAAATACTGATACTGACATATTATAACCCACTGATTAAAATAAGCATCCATATATTAATAAATATAAAAATGGAGGAAAAAAGGAAAGCTCATCATTACAGTAGATGCCAACTAACAAATGCAGAAGAAACAATGGACTTAGGTATCTTTACTGTAATAATTGATTCACACAAGACTCATCAATTGATGCTGGAATTAGAGGGTAAAAATTTAATGAAATACAGGATATTTACATAGTTCAAAGCATCTTCCCCAAATTACTCATCATTTACAAAAGGAAAAGTAAGAAACTTCCCACTGCACAAGCCTGGTGGACACCACCTGTATGTTGTGTTTGTGTTGCTATAACAGAGTACCTGAGACTGGGTAATTTATAAAGAAAAGAGGTTTATTTACCTAACAATTCTGGGATAGCTGCATCGGGCGCAGACCTCAGGCAGCTTCTACCCATGACAGAAAAAGGCAGGTCAGGCAGCTGGTGCAGGATCACATGGTGAGAGCAATCAAGAGAGACAGAGGGAGGTGCCACGCTCCTTTAAAAAACCACCTCTGGTGGGAACTAACAGAGTAAGAACTCACTACCCCCCCCCAAGGAAGGGCATTAATCTATTCATGAGGGATCCACCCCCATGACCCAAACAGCTCCCAACACTGCCAAATTGGGAATCAGACTTCAACATGAGCCTTGGGCGGGCAGGCAACATATCCAAAATATTTCACCACCTTAACCACAACACCAGTTATGGGACAAAGTAACCCCATGGCCTCCTGGTATGACACACTGAGATGCACACACCATCACTTCTGTGGTATTCTTCTTAAAAATACATGACCCAAATGTGACATAAGGGAACATCGGGTAATCCTATACTGAAGAACATTCTACAAAATAACTGGTCTACACTCTTCGAAAATGTCAAGGTCATGAAAGTCTGAGAAACCAGCCCAGGGAGGCATGACAACTAAACACAGTGGGTGATCCCAGACTGGGGGAATAAACTTTAAAAGGCATCACTGGGACAAGAGACAAAATTTGAATATGAATTGTGGATTAGATAATGGTACGGTATTACTGTAAGATGTTCTGATTTTGATTCTTGTGCTATGAATAGGTAAGAACCCCTCACCTAAGATATGTTGAAGTATTTAGGAATAAAGTGGTACGATATGATGAAAGAGAATAAAATAAAGCAAATGGTTGGTGAATTTGGGTAAAGGGTGTAATAGGAGTTTTTGTATAATTATTACAACTTTTATGTATGTTTAAAATTACACCAAAATTAAAAATAACAATAAAAAAATCGCCAAGGATAAAAGTGCTTTTAGAACCCAGCAGTTTATTCCAAAACTACTAGAATTTGACCTGTATTTTAAAATTATTTACATTACTGATGCAACACTGGGTGATTCTCAAAAAATTGAAAGTAATCAGTTTGCATTCACGTCACATCCATCTAGAAGCCTATGATCCGGATGATTTCAGAGGTATATGTCACCTCAGTATTTCTCTAGCTATGGAAATACCAAGTAATCATCTGCTTAAATATTTCTTTTTCTTGTTCTGTTTTGCACTGTTCTCAAAATACAGATAAAAGACACAAGAAAGAACCAACATTTAAAACACAGCACACAAGAATCCTGAGCATACATTCAACAGGACTTTAAGTACTTGATGACATGCATACTAAAAGCTACTATGGCATTACAGGTACACGAAAAAAAAAATGCAGTAAGATTTGTGTTGTCAGTTACTCATGCAATTTAATTTTATAATTTTATATGCAAGAAGACTCTTTTACTTTTTAAAAATAAGGAATGGGCTCTGGAAAAATAATGCTGAAGAGCAAATAAGTAAATTGAACATTAAAATATCTGGATGAAGGAAAAGTTTGGGATGAGGCTACATCTTAGAACCATCGAAAAGTACCTGAAGTGGCTGCTGCTGGGATGGAAAAGCAGCAGAAACACTTGGAGGAAGCTGGGTTGCTATAGCAACAGGAGTACCAGTCTGCCCATCCTTTCCTGTCACAACCTTTACCTGAGAGGAAATATTTTGAGAAAAAAAGGCAACATAATTTTTAAGACTGCTCAAAATTTTGTTAGCGTTTTACTGCTGATAGCTCACTGATGTTTGGTGTTTAAAAATGGGATGTTTTTGCACAAGATCCTGTAAAAGGACAATGAACTGGCAGATTTATAACATAATAACCTAACTCAACTGCAATCTTGCAGGAATTCCAATTTAAGTCACAAATGCAATATCCTAAGATTCTGCAACTTCAAAGCTTAAAAATGAGAATGGCAGACAAACTTTAAGTAACAAAGTCCTAACAACTTCACAGGCAATTTTCACAATAACCACTCTGTTACCTACTATACATAGGGTCAGAATGGCAAAGGTCTGTTTCAGCAGCAAGTTATAAAAAGGGATTTTTTTTTTTAAGCACAGATAAGGGGGACTGAGCTTACAGACAACATTGGTATACAAACATAAAGAGAACTGGATTTCACTATTTCATGGCAATAGAAGTGAAATCCTCAAAATGATCATAAAAACCTTTTGAAAAACAAAAAAGGTCCATCCTGGAAAGGGTGTTAAAGAAAACACAAAATGGCAAAGCCACACAGATACATCCATAAATATCAATGAGGACTGCTTGAGCAAAGAGACTAGCTTTTGTTCACCAAAAGCTGATTTCTTTGCAGAAGAGCTGACAAAGATTTAAATTATTTTAGTTATATCATAAAACAAAATAACCTTCACCAACATACTCGTAGTGTACACTACACAACACAGAGGCACAGAATACAGTGCATTACAGTACAATTCGCTATCACCCTGGTTTTTAGGAATCACAAATAAAAGGATCTTAGGAATCACTGTGGTACTGAGAAATCTCAATTAGGGATTTATTATGCACCCCCCTTCCAGGCATCCAAAAAGTATACTGTCTAAAAAAGATTTTACCTTAAATACCACTCAACAGGTATTTGCAAAAGTGTGAATTTAAAATATGACCTCAAATCTAAGGCTACATCTAAAACTTGAAAAAAAGCTCAAACAGTTTTTGCCATATAACTATATTTCAATCATGAAGTTAAAAATAAATATTTAGTAATTTATAATTATGGCTGACATATTATAAAAAGCTGGTGATTTAAATCCCTTGTTTAAAAACCATGTTGACAGTGATTTTAAAAATAAACCTACATGAGTAAAACATCAAACTTGGAAAACAAGCCTAGGTGCTAAGCTTCACACCTCTGGCTTCGGCAGCACGTCCTCTGCCTGCAGCAGCAGGGCTGGCAACAGCTGTCAGTGTCAGCCAATGACCACACATCCAGGTTGTGCCAGCTGAGTTCTCCAAACCTGAGATGAAGCCCTGGTTCTCAATGAATGAGCATTAATCACAGCATCATTCTGCATCTTTCTCCCAACACAATGCTGTACTGGAATAGCCTTTCCTTTCCAAGAAGGAAAAAAGCAAAATACATTCTTCAATTTTACTCATGGATCAAATCCTTATGAAACCAAAATCTCAGAAAAATCCCAGGCCCAGTTATTTTTCAATTTACTGTTCCACAGACTCTTATCAGGTCTTCTACATTATTAAACTACTGTTTCTTACCTCATCATTGATAACCTCAGATTTTTCTTCCTCCTCTTCCTCCTCCTCCTCCTCTTCTTCCTCAAGATCCAAATCATTCTGCCTAAGATATGCTTGCAATGGGGCATAATGTTTCTTCTTGAAAGCTAAGAAGTCCATCATATTCCCCTGAAGGTGCTGCAAGAAGAACAGCTCGATCAGGTACTCCTTGAAGACCTCCCTCAGTGCCTCCATCTCCTTGTAGTGATAGTCCAAGCACTGCTTTCTCATCTGCGCCGTCTCCTGGGAAGCTGGGGGGATCGTCTCCAACTTCCTGGGAGCCTTCTTCACTCCTGCACACCCCGAAGATGGGAGGGGAAGGCTGGAAAGGCCTAGGGGCATGGGCGTCCTGGAAGGGCTGGTGGGTGGGGGTGGGGACGTCATCCCAAACGCCGAAGAACCCCCAACCCCAGGGAGTAACACACCCGAAGTCCTCTCGAACCCCAGGGGCCTTGTCAGTGGCGGCCCCTGCAGCACCTGCTGCTGCTGGATCAGCTGGCCCTGGATGATGCTGCTGATCTGGGGGGGCAAACTCGCTGTGGCGATGTGGCTCGGGCTGGCCAGAGGCTGCAGGCTGGCCCCGCCTGTGGCTGCAGGGCTCTGGGGTCCCAGATGGTGGATGGTGCCTCCAGGTTGCGTGTGAGGTTGTGATAGTCTGCGTTCTCGGACTGTGATGGGAGTCCCCGCATGCTGGAGCTGAACCTGGGCTCCCTGAGCAATCTGGGTGAGTCCTGAGCTCTCCTGAAACAAGCTGATCTGTCTGACGAGCACACTGGCATCCACGAACCCTCCGGTGGGGCTGCCACTACAGATGCCCAGCCCGGGCCCGGGGGTGCCAGCACGCACACTCTGCAGGGCCTGCCCTGGCCCAGGGCTGGGCTGCGTGGGGCTTTGAGTCTGGACTTGTTGGGACAGGGGCGAAGTAACCTGGATGTACGATGGAGACCCATGCTCAAACCGCCTCGGCTGAGCACTGAACTGGAAACCTGGAGAGGTGGGGCTGGGGAGTGGCAGAGGGGCCAGCGTGATCTGCTGGTTTCCTCCCACGACAGAGCCAACGTTCTGCAGGGTGATGTTCACATTCTGCCCAGCCACAGGACTCCGGCTCATCAGCTGCTGTATCTGGTAACCGGGGGACTGGGGTGCGGATGGGCTCGCCGAGGGAGCGAAGGGTGTGGCGGGGGACTGGGGCAGGGCTGGGTGGGCCTGCTGTTCCTCTCCTTCGCTGCCGGCGAAGGACCTGGGCCTCTGCAGCTGATGCTGGACGTTCTGAGAGCTGCTGCCATGGTGCATTATCACCTCCCTTTTTATCCAATGTAATGTTCTCCTTAAAAAATCGAAATTTAAATCAAGTTACTTGAAGGCAGATATAATCATTTGATTACCACTGAGTATGATTACCACATAACCACACTGAAAATACACTCTGAAGATCTGTTCCCCTGGAATCTGATTCAAATGACAGTGCATTGTATTAACTCACATCAAGCCATGCAGAGAGACAACACTGGAGACCACCTCCTTCAGCAGAGATGGTATGCTCTATCAGTACATGAATTTATATAAAATTTACAGAACTTATGAATATAGTACAGAAAAGTGTCCTTTGTAGTCACTGCTGTGCCCAGGGCCCAGGACATGGCCTGGCAGAAGCGGGCCGGTGATCCAAACCAGTTACATGGAACATTAACTAGCATCGCTGAGGACGACAGCTAACCTGTGTGGAGAACGTGCAAAACTGCCCGTGCCCCAGATCCTCACGGCTACCCCATGAGGTGGGCACTGTTCCTGCCCCATTTGAGGGGACTGAGCTACAGGGAGGACTGTGAGCTGCTCTGACCCTGCCTCCAGCTCCCTCTGCAGCAGAACTTCCACCCGCCTCCCACCGCAGGGCCTACAGTACCTGTAGCCAGACAAAGGCATGCATCGCCATCACCAGAGAAGAACGTCCAACACTCAGCAGCCCATTCTGACCAACTTCAAGCCACCTCTCCTGCGGACACTCCCCTATTAAGTCCAGTTCAAAAACACTGAGCCCAGCTCCACCTCAGAGCCTGTGCTAGCTGCAGGAGAGTGGAGACAGCCAAGAAAAGACAGTACCTGCCCTGAGGGGGTGTACAGCCTATTCCGGGAGCTAAGCTAAATCACGAAAAGAAGTCGTGAGGAAAAAGCAGCAAACAGCCTCAGACCTCAACCCTCTCTACAAGCACATGCAAAGAGCAGAAGCTTCAAGAAGTCTCAGGGCTGGCCAGTTAGCTCAGTTGGTTAGAGCACAGTGTTGTAACACCAAGGTCAAGGATTCAGAAACCCATACCAGCCAGCCCCCAAATAAAAAAAAGAAAGAAAAAAGGAAGAGGTCTCAAAGGAGAGAAGGGAACACCAGGGCCTGGCTCACTCTGGGGGAGTCCCCTTCAGGGGGTCTACAAACTCTCTGGGAGGTTGTACCACAGACTCACACCCTAAAAAGTGCTTGGTGCAAGCAACTAGAAACAGTGGCAGGAGAGTGGAAGGGACCCACTGAGGACAGCTGGCTCTCAGCACCCACTGAGGGCAATTCTGAGATGCGACGGGGTCAGACCCAGGCTACACACTCAAATGTCAGGGGCGGGAGCTGAAAGTAAATGAGGACCCCCACTGCAGCCACCTGGGTCCTGTGTGCTCCCTGCTATGGCTGAGTCCCCGACACAGAAACATCTTTCTCCCCAAACAGAAACAATGGTGCAAATGCAATGACCTACAGCAGCTGGTGTCCAGCTCAGTGCCAGGGCTGCAAAAGGAGAGGTGGGATGATGTCCCACGTTAAAGGGGCAGCTGCTGCTTGGGCCCAGCTGATTTCTGCCATAAAGGAGCATAAACCCCATTCAAGTTTTCAAGAGAAGCAGATGGAGAAAAACTGAATCTTGATGGCATAACTTGGCACTGAGCCAGCAGGTGTGAAGCCACCACCCCAACATTCCAATTCCCACTCAGTCCCACTGTGGAAACCAGTCTGACCTGGGTTACTTCCCTAGTTTTCTCAAATCCTATGTGACACTCCCAACTCCCCTGACTTCTTGAGGTTCCTTCCACCCCAAGCCTGGCTAGACAGTGATCAAAGAGCTTCTTCTTGCTCCCTCCAAGACAAATGGGAGCACTTTTCATCTTAAGAGCATCACTGGTTATCTCTATGAGAAAAAGGACAAGAGAAAAAAAAATCATGACCCTATATAAGTTACAAAAAAACTTACAGGGCACTTACAGTCCCAGTTCCCTTGCAGAAATGCACTTATGCATGAAATCAAAAGCTACAGAATTTCTGAATGCACAAGTATATTCCCAGCAAACATAAAAAGTAAATGCACATTTAAACTAGCAGGAGAAGGGAGTGTTCTGATTAGATGGTGGTCTCTGAAGATGGAGTCAGAAGGCAGTGGCCAAGCCACAGCAGATATGTTAAGGGGGGGGGGGGACAACACATCCTTAATATTCCCGCTTAAGGTAACTTTGATATTCCAGAGAAGATTAGCCTTAATTACAACCCATGAGCGCACACCCCCAGTAGAGAGCCTAGAAGAGTGAGTGACGCACTGTGGGGCACAAGGTGGGGGGCCTTAGGTACATTCATTACTTTTAAAACAAAATTTTGTTTCTGATCTTTTTAAACAAGCATTATGAATGGATATTAGCGTGGACCTGGCACAAAAACAGAATTAACACACACAGGTTATATTTAGGATTATTCCCTTAGAATACATTCCCAGAATGTCAAAGATGATCAATAAAAGAGAACAAAGGGCCACAAAGAAACTCTTTCATATATAATAATTCATAAAACCAGGGGGAAGGTAAGAATTAGGAACAAAAAGTTATGAGAACAGATTGATACAGGGAGAAAATTCAACCTAGACTCTCATCACAAGTCAAACATCAAAATGAATTAAGCATTTTTACAAGCTAACTTTCCAAGTTTTATGTTAAATGTAAAAAAAAAATCAAAACATAGAAAAATTTGAACACAAAACTGAACACTTCCTAAGTCTCTGAAGGGAATTCAATTTCCTAAACTTAAAAATAATAGAGTTGTATCTGAAAAGATAGAAGAATTTGAAGACGCACAACATTAAAATGTTTAAGACTCAAAAATAAATCATCAAAGTTTAAAACCAAAAGTCTTGGAACGAATATTTGAAGTAATCACAACAGAAGACTACTACAAGTACTATAAAAAGCCCTCATACAAACCAATAAGAAAAATACTAAAATCTCAATACACAAATGACTTCAAGACAAGAAAAGACAGTTCATAAAGGGAGAAAAACATCTACTTAACCAACTTAGAGGAAAATGTCCAATCTTGCTACTAATAAAAGTAATACAGACTAAAATAAATATTTCCCCAGATCTACTTAGCCAAGACATTAAATAAGACAACTGGTACTCTACTAACACTGCTAAAGGGAATTTGGGAAGCAATTTGAAATGATGTAGAAAGATTTCAAAAGGGTTCATAAGCAAAAAATACCTCGTAGGAGACTACAGACAGCAGTAGGAAAGTGGAGGGGGACGCATTACACCCCATAACCTTTGACCTAGTAATCCTACTTATAGAAATCTAAGGAAATTAACCTACCAATTTAAAAAATTGTGCATGAAAAATAATCATTGTAGAGTAATACGACAAAAGCAAAAAGTGTAACCAGAAATTCCCAATGCTGAAGTTCTAGATGGAGAATATGCAATAAAAACAGAAGAATGTTCAGACATATTAACTGAAAAAAAGCAGGATACAATTATACAACATAATCACTACTATTTTAAAAATATAAATAAAAAGATGATCCACAGAAACATACCGAAATATTAATACTGACCTTCACCTGATGAACAGACACAATAAACTGTGGTACAGCCATACAATGAACAGGAGCTACGGACACACCCTACACAGTAGAATCTCAGGTGCAAGATGCCACGCAAAGGAAGCCAGACTCAAGGACTATGATCTGTGTGGGTCACGGACATGACTTTCTGGAAAAAGCAAAACTATGGGGACAGAGATTAAATAAGAACTTGACACGGGCAGACTAGAAAGATGCATGAGGGAATTGGGGTAAAGAACTGTCTCTATAGATTGATTTGTGATGTTGGTACAAGACTTAATGTATTTGTCAAAAAATTAACATAACTATACACCAAAAAGTGTTAACCTTTACTATGTGGAAATTATACCTCCATTTTTGTATTTTATTTTTTATTTTTATTTTTTAAAGATGACCGGTAAGGGGATCTTAACCCTTGACTTGGTGTTGTTAGCACCACGCTCTCCCAAGTGAGCTAACCAGCCATCCCTATATAACAGGGATCCAAACCCGTGGCCTTGGTGTTATCAGCACCGCAGTCTCCCGAGTGAGCCACAGGCTGGCCCCTACCTCAATTTTTTTAAAAAATGGTCCCTATCCTCAGTGAGTTATAATCAAGCTAGACAAACAAACACAATCAACTACAATGTAAAGAAACTATTTATCTAAAACAGTGTTTCCACAGGCTGGCCAGTTAGCTATTGGTTAGAGCAGCATGGTACCGATAATACCAAGGTCACAAGTTCGAATCGCCACAACAGCCAGCCAACAACAACAACAAAATGGGGTAAGAAACTAGGTGGTGTGGGCCAGCCCGTGGCTCACTCGGGAGAGTGTGGTGCTGACAACACCAAGGCCCCGGGTTCGGATCCCATATAGGGATGGCCGGTTAGCTCACTGGGTGAGCGTGGTGCTGACAACACCAAGTCAAGGGTTAAGATCCCCTTACCGGTCATCTTTAAAAAATAAAAATAAAAAATAAAATACAAAAATGGAGGTATAATTTCCACATAGTAAAGGTTAACACTTTTTGGTGTATAGTTATGTTAATTTTTTGACAAATACATTAAGTCTTGTACCAACATCACAAATCAATCTATAGAGACAGTTCTTTACCCCAATTCCCTCATGCATCTTTCTAGTCTGCCCGTGTCAAGTTCTTATTTAATCTCTGTCCCCATAGTTTTGCTTTTTCCAGAAAGTCATGTCCGTGACCCACACAGATCATAGTCCTTGAGTCTGGCTTCCTTTGCGTGGCATCTTGCACCTGAGATTCTACTGTGTAGGGTGTGTCCGTAGCTCCTGTTCATTGTATGGCTGTACCACAGTTTATTGTGTCTG